AATCAGGCCAGTATTATTACTAGTACAAATACAGCTTGTGTTCTCCAGACTGGAGATAATCAGGCCAGTATTATCACTAGTAGAAATACAGCTTGTGTTCTCCAGACTGGAGATAATCAGGCCAGTATTATCACTAGTAGAAATACAGCTTGTGTTCTCCAGACTGGAGATAATCAGGCCAGTATTATTACTAGTAGAAATACAGCTTGTGTTCTCCAGACTGGAGATAATCAGGCCAGTATTATTACTAGTAGAAATACAGCTCGTGTTCTCCAGACTGGAGATAATCAGGCCAGTATTATCACTAGTAGAATGTTAGTTTTATTTCCTAATAAAAATGAATTCAACTAGCCACTAAAGAGTTTTCTCTGTAAGTGTTTCATAATTTAGAAGGTTGGAAAATTATTGGAGCCTTATTTGGAATGTCGACCTAATGATGGTAACATTGGTCTCGTATAAGTAACTGGTATAAGTGACGTGTTGTTTTAACAATAAGTCCAAAAAGACACCAAATATAAGACCAAGACATCAGTACCTAGATCCTCAGGCAGATGGTAAATAATTTAGTTTTATTAGGCAAGGAAGATTAGGTGTTGAACTGGACGTTTGACCTAGTTTTCGTTAGTATAGTTTTGTAAGAATCTGTAAATTATAATCTAAAGAGCCCCTGTAACAGAGAAGCTATCACTAAGTTACTACATCCCCCTCACTTCATACATGTTACGATAATGTACTGTCTATATATATATATATAAGCAAGTTCAAATCGAACGTTGATTCCCAGAAATCCACTTCAACTACTCAAACAAATGTTATGATGTATTCACGAATTTCGAAACGTGCGTTTTACTTTATTTTCATAAATCTCGTTTCTTTTCTTCCAGTTCATGCTTTATTTATTTCATATTTTAGGCTACACAAGCTACGTTACCGATCGCTCTGCGTCTTTTCTAACAATATTCTAAATTCTCTGCACGAGTACAGCAGCAGCTGGCATGTACTTAGCCCGGGCAGACCACTCGAGCGTGCCAGACGCGTGGCTTAGGTACGTTCGTGCTTCGCGGTCACGACCTTGGCTTAATGCGCGGAGTACTGGTGTCTTGTCCGCCTGCAGCCTGACGAATAACACTTTCCGTTTGTTTGGGTACAGAGCTTTGGAGTTTAGTTATAAAAAAATGTCCCCGAAGATTAGAAAGAGCATTCAATTCAAACAAAACTTGTACTGTTTGTATATACAGAATAAAGGCTTAGTAGATCTAGTGAGTTCTGCAACTAATTATACGGTTAGAACATTTGAACAGCGCTTAACTACACGTATCGCCTCACAAACATAGTTAAAATTTAGTCCTTAACCGAAATAAGCAATTTTACTTTATATAATACAGTCCGATAGATACCAGTTTTTACTTCAAGTTTGCACATATTTTAGGGCTGGATCAGTTGGATCGTTATTATACACATCGTGAGTTTGGAGTGTCATTACAGGCAATATATACATATCATCACAACTAGTTGTTGTTATAACAATATTTACATATCATAACAACTAGTTGTTGTTATAACAATATATACATATCATGATAACTAGTAGTTGTTATAACTATATATACATATCATCATCACAACTAGTTGTTGCTACAACAATATATGCATATCATAAACACAACTAGTTGTTGTTACAACAATATACATATATCATAAACACAACTAGTTGTTGTTACAACAATATACATATATCATCACAACTAGTTGTTGTTACAACAATATACATATATCATCACAACTAGTTGTTGTTATAACAATATATACATATCATCACAACTAGTTGTTGTTATAACAATATTTACATATCATAACAACTAGTTGTTGTTATAACAATATATACATATCATGATAACTAGTAGTTGTTATAACTATATATACATATATCATCACAACTAGTTGTTGTTACAACAATATACATATATCATCACAACTAGTTGTTGTTATAACAATATTTACATATCACCACAACTAGTTGCTGCTACAACAATATATACATATCATCATCACAACTAGTTGTTGTTACAACAATATACATATATCATCACAACTAGTTGTTTTTATCAGTTAATATTCACTAATTCTTGTTTCTCTCAATATAAAATATACTTCTTGTGTTACAGTAAAATACAAATATGTATATAACTAATAAAATATTCTAATTTGGATTTTAATAATTACTTACTAGTGGCGATGTAAAGTTTCATTCATCGTGAATCAGCTGTTAGTGTTTAGCTACACTTAGAACAATTGATTTAACGCTGTAAACAGCGACTTGTCAAGTGGCTGATGTTTACCCAAATGAAAGTTATGTTTAGTTGTGCTTGTTTTTCAGAAGTCTTTCTGCTGTATGACTCAGGTACTAAAAGTTATAGAAGTCAGTTTAGTGAACTTTTAAAACAAGGATAAATAATTTTTCGTTGTACATGTATTTTCACTAATTTGGTTTCTGTAAAACACTATATATAGTTTGAAAATCAGATTGCCAATTAGCAGCTCATATCTTTAGTTTAAACAAATTCCGCCTGGGGTAACTAAGTAATTTAATTGCAGTATATATATATATATATATATATACGTATAATAACACATAATAAAAACGATGCCAAATTACTTTAAACTAAAATAAGCCTGACTGATTGAGACAAAACAAATCTTACATATGTTATTAGCTGTTAATGAGATAATATATATTTCTCTTTTTAAATTCGCATATTAGAGAAGTACTTTTCACATTCATATCTGACGTATTACCTTTTAAAATGAATCATTTATCCCCTTGTTTTTCTTAATCCTCTCTTATGAGAGTTGGCCCTTGCACGTGGATGCTATTCATAGAGCACGAGACGAGGCTTTTGGCCCGTGTATTGATAGTAGCTCAAAGGAACAGATGAAATAGGTTAGTAAAAGTACGGGGAACAAAGTCGGTGGTTTTTTTTCCCCCATACAATACTATAACGAGCACCCTTCAGTTTGGCCG